TCCAGCCCGGGGAGGAGCCGCCCGCAGCGCGGGGCCACTGCTGCGGGACAAGAGCAAACACCGCCTCAGACAAAGCGCCGCGGCCTCCCGCGCCCCTGACCCGCCCGGGCAGGATCCCCTCGCCCCTCTCCAGCCCCAGAGCGGCGGAGGAGGCGGAGAGACGCGCGGTGCCCTCGGTCCCACAGCGCGGCCCCCTCACCTCGCCACAGGCAGCGAGCGCTGGGCGCCGCCATTGCGCCCGGTGCACCCCCGGAACGCTTCCCCGTGGAACTCGCTCCCCGAGACCGAGAAGAAGGGTTCCGGCCGCCCGCGGGCCCGCTAGCGGTGTCCCACCTACTGCCGTCCCCCTCGCTTGCCGCGTCTGGGCCTGTCGTTCCGCGGGTGCGGGGTTCCGGCTCCTGCCCGCTGCCCGGGGAGAGGTGACCGATTGCCGGGGGCTGCTTAAAAGCCTCCAGCTCGCTTCTTCACCGGCCTGAGAGGGGCCTCAGGGCAAAGCCGCGCTTGTCTCGTAGCGCTGCAGGCCAAACTGGTTCCCCCTTCCCCGAAACAACATGGCGGCGGCTGCTGAGGGCAGTCGGAGCCGCGGCCCTCAGACATGATGGGGTTTACAGCTGTTCAGACACGTCTGGTCGGGATTACATTGCCCCTCACACGCTCAGTGTTGTCCGCTGCAAGCCACACCTAATTCCAAAATGAGATTTCCTGGCTGCCATCTCACCCCCATTCCCGTGCAGACTGGGTGGGAAAAGGGATGCCTCGTTCACTCTCCTGGAGCAGCATCCACTTAGAAAGTCTTTGTGGAACCATCTCCCGAGCTGTTCGGAGTGGCGCCACAAACTACCACGGTTAAAGGGGTTTTTATTCCACGCCCATGTGCTTTGGACTAAAAACATTCCAATCCCGCAGTCTTCCCCAATCGATTCCAAGAATTTTGGGATCAGACACGGGTGGCTGCGTAGAAGGAATTGTAACAAAACTCTGTTCATCCAATCCAACTCCTGGCTCAGCATCCTGGGCAAGGACGGAATGGCGACGTGTGGGGACATGGGAGGAAAAGGACTAAGTTAAAAAGTCCTCAGCTGAGGAGGGCCGAACACTTGTTTAGAACTCTTGGGGGGAAATGGAATGATTTTTTGTGTGGCTCCTGTGGAGGTGGTGGATGTCAGAGGAGACTTGAGTGTGCACCTGTGGCCGGGTAACCCGCGCCCTTGGCCATCTCCCCTGTGAGCCTCCGGCTTTTCGCACGCCAGCTCTCTGCCGTGGACCACGGATTTTGGGAGAAACGCGGGCTCACACTTCATGGGCAACCATCCCCAATACCTCATTCTCTCCAAAGCCCACTTCCTACCAACACCCCTTGCTCCATCGCTGAGCCACGTCCCGCTCTCCGGCCATCAATGAAACTTTTGGGTCCAGCATGAGCTCACCGGCAGCTGCAGCAGAAAGCAAATTCCACTTAAAAGCCCCAGAGCCTGATGTCTCGTCCCTCCCCGTGCTCTCTCGACCACTTGTTGCTTCCTCAGACACTCCCTACGTCTCCCAGGCGCTTTTTTAATTTTATTTATTTTTTTTCCAGCACCGTTTTCCCACTCGGGCACGCACAGAGCCACATCCCTCCCCGCGCCTGGGCTCGTGTTTTATCTTTCAGTCCACCTTTCCCTCACGCCCATCCTAGCGGGCCGCCAAAGGGATGCCGGCGTGTTTGGGAAGCGATGGGCTTCAGCACCAGAGCCTCATTTACCTGCACAAGGATCCGTGCCGCCGACACTTGGGTGCCGAATCAAACCCCAGCACCTAGAGGAGGAGAAACAAAGGTGCCAGGCACCGACGGGATGGCCGCACGCTCAAAAACACGGCACACCCCGCCTTCCCAGGTGGACTCTTCCTTCTCCCACCGCAGCGCGATGACAGCCGCGTCCTCGCCTGTAAAACCGGGGTGGGGATGTGGAAAGGAAGGGGAAAACTGCGGGGGTAAAGCGGGCCTGGGGAGGGGGTTCCTTCGGGCCCCTGCCGGTGCTGCCGGCCCCCGTCCGTGAGCGCTGACCCGGCCCCGCCAGTGCCC